GGACTAAGTGCACAGAGAAAGCGGAACTGGAAAGGCTGTCCCAGGAGGAAGTTGAGAGAGCCCTGTCTCAAGACAGCTTCAGCACTTACAGCAGCGTCCAGGTTGTGGCTCATGCCTTACATGCCACATCTTCATCCCAATCCAGGCACACATTGAGGTTGGGTGGAGGAGACAGGTTGGAACATCAAAGACTGCATTCATGGCAGGTACTTTCTTTTCTGTTTCCAGCATCACTGAGGATGAGGAAAGACATTGGAACTGGGCTCACACAATGTGTATGGCATTGTTCCCTTCCCGGATTGCCTGGTTCTTCCTCATTAGTCCACTGAGGGTGGCTGGATGGCTTGAGTAGCTCTTACAGTTGCTCCTCTTTCCAGAGAATTCTATGGTATTTGCCCACTAGAATTGGAAACCATGGGCCTGGCTTCAGACAACACAACAAGCCATGGTGCTATGAGCAAACAATAGGAAAAGACACTGGTTCTTACCATGGATAATCATGGCTTGTCAAGTTGTCTGAACCCAGCCAAGGCAACCCATGTTACAGCCTATCATCTTGCCTGTTGCATGGAAGTGCAGAGCTCGTCTTCTTGTCTCCTGAAGTAGCTCATTGAGGCAATTATTTTGAATGGTTCCCAGATTATTCATCCATTTTCCTGGAAATGGATCCCTGAAACCCTCAAGAACTCATTATCATTTGCTTTGCAAAGCCCTTGGACAAGGAAAGACTTTGCCTGCTAGGTGTACTTTAGATTGTTCTTGTAGGAGATGAAGTTTGACAGTCTAATGCCTCCAGTAGTCCATCCTGAGGGATCGTTTGTCATTATTCTCCTGAGGACATGGACTAAATGGTTGTGGTGAAGCATCTTATTAGTTTCCCTGCTAAACATTTCCCCTTCTGACTAATAAAAACTAGTGGGAGACTAGGACTGGTATGTCCAGAGTGTACAATGCATGCTCATACAAAGTGGTGGTATCTTCTGCATTTAAAGAAGCAGTAACACCACAACTGTTTCAGAAATCCCTCCCAGATCTTATGGATTTGGATCCCTGCCCCTACTTACAGATGCCTCCTTTTTGGCTCAGCTTCTCGAGAAGGTAGTGGCAGATCATTTGTAGTCAGGATACTGGTTGTCAGGACCCATTTCATCTGGTTTCTACAAAGGCTCATGAGTCTACAGATGACATGCAGCTGCATTTCCTTGTGAATTCTGCATCATGGCCATCCTTTGATACATGAAAGTGTGGCCATGGATGTCCTTGACCAGGGCTTGGACTTCATATCTGCCCTGCTCCATTGTGTGTGTGATTCTTGCTAAGAGAGAGGCCTTGTGGAAGAGTGGTTCCCATGCCCATGAAATATGTATGCATCTCATTTCTAAACCTATTTCAACCCATAATGCCTTGCAACACTCAACTCCACAATACCTGTCAGCGCACTTCCCTCAGCCATGATCCATTTGCACACTACTCGACCTCTCAGGCCTTCCTCCTCCAGGGAAGCTCAGAGGATGACAACAAGGAGGAGAGCTTTCTCCGAGGTGGACCCCCATTTCTGCACTGTGCTCCTGCTGGCACCAGACTGACATCTTTGGGGCCAAGCTCACATGGCCATTTAAGCAGAGCCTTGAGGCACATACTTGCTACTCAGGAGCTTGAAGGGGGTTGCCCTGTGCTTGACAGAATTAGCAAAGAAAGAATAATTCTTTGCTAATGTTTGTTTCAGCAATTTTCTTTTTAAAGGTTTTTTCTGACTTCATAACATAGAAACACAGAAACAGAGCGAGTCAGAAGGGGTCTCCTGGGCCATCTAATCTGCCCCCAGGTCCAGCTGGCTCCACTCATGACATGCCTTCCATGTGCATGTCCATGGACAATAAGAACAGCTACTCCTGTCTTTTCCTCCCAGAAATCCAAGGCAGCACAAATGCTGTTTTTCCTCTTCACTTCATCCTCACAACAATCCTATGTGGTAGGTGAAGGTGAGAGTGAATGACCTGCCCCAAGTGAGTTTTATTGCTGGGTGGGGACCAGAACCCAGGTGACCAAAGTCCCACTCCAACAGCACAAGCCTTGACCCTGCCAGGCTGGTCATGATCCATATGGAGAAGCCTCTCCTAGACCAGAGCTATGCAGGTATTAGTCTTTATAGAGGAGCATCTTGTGGCCTTGGCAGATCATAGCTGGTTAGAACTCAGAGTTAGGATAGGAAGAATGTGGAATGGTCCTTCTTACTTTCATGCTTTTCCCTCCATCCTTCTAGTTTCATGCGTTCTTAAGAGAAACCCAGCTTTCCAATATTTCTGTGGAAGGACTGTATTTTGATGAGAATGGGGAGCTCAAAACTGGCTTTGACATTGTGAATTGGGTGCTGTTTCCCAATGACACATGTGGTCGAGTTACAGTTGGGAGTGTGAAGAGAGATGCCTCCCCTGATGTAAAGCTCACACTCAAGGAGGAAGCCATCATGTGGTCCCAGCATTTCAAGGAGGTGGGGAAAAAACTTTGTGTCTTACTCATTGTTTGTGGTGTCTGTTAAAATCTATGAATCTGTGGGATAATCCATACAAGGCATTTTGGGGAATCCAGTGCACACTTGTCTGGGAAAGGAAGTTCCAGTGAGCAGAAAAGACTTGTTCTTGTGTGAACGATTGCAGGATTGCCTTGCCAAGGGAACCTTCTTCTAGCAGTGCAGGCCAGTGAGAGTTTAATGCTCCCAAGCCTTCCTGTTTTGGAATTTTTGCACTGGTTTCCCTGTACACTTAAGGCAGCATGAAGAGAATCCTCCAGCTGATCTCCACGTCTAATCCACACCAAGAAAGTGTGAGGAATCTCTTTGGGGTGAGAATCAGTTGGATTAATTGAGCTCAGTTCCCTGCACTCTGGCCCACGTCCCACAGCCATGGGTCTGAGTGTCTTCCAAGTGCACCTGGGTTCCCCTTATGCATTCCAGGAATCAAGTCCTGTGTGCCAATGCATGAGGCTCTTCCATACTTCATGTCAACTGTGGCAACCTTTGCTTGTGCAGCTGCATGAGACACAGACGAAGGTTGCCAGTTGTGCAGCTGGGATTCCATGAGAGTCCCAGGACTTTCTCTCTGATTGGCTTGCTTCCCACACCTGAGCTGAGAGTGCAAGGCAGTCCACAAATGACAATGGGATGGATTCCTCAGAGCTTCTATGCATCTCTGCATATCAGTCCTTTTTTTT